ATCTACTGCAAGGATTCTTTAAGATGTGCACACTGGAACTACTTGGCTGTGATTGTCAAACAAAACTCATTTTCAGATGACAAGACTCTATCCTTCGTAGGAACAATCATAAGTTAATATCAGTATAATCTGCCCTCTTCCAAAATGCCTTGACTTAAGTTTAAATGGTCCTGGCAGCATGAGGCTGGTGCAGAGTGTACTACCACAGGGCGGGGGGCAGAGGCTCATTTTCCTCTACCCCAATTCAGTCATGAGTGAGCTCTGTGATCTTGAGCAAGTCATTAACATGTTGCCCCAAATGACGGCAAATGTGTTTCTAAGCACGGTTGTCAATTTAAAAAGTGTGCAACTCCAGGTTTCAATTTCTTCATCTATAAAATAAGGAATTTAATTATATGCTGTTGTAATTCCTGCCTAGCTCCAAAAATCCTTATTTTTGTGAAATGTTCCTCTAGCTATATACAGAAGTCACCCAATTATCAGAAGACACTGTCATGGATAAAAATGAAAGTTCTCTTACAAAAGGATGTTGTTTAAACTATGGCCTTTCTGCTTTACTGACTCAGGAGTCTCTCTTAGTATGAAAGTATAACACCACCCTTTGGATTTTTAGCTCTCATTGTCACTAGTCATAAAGGATCTCAAAATATCAAAAAAAGTTCACTGGGAAGAATTAAGTGAATCTTGTATCATGAAATTCCAGGCTTTCTTTTAAACATCAAGCATACAAAGAGTACTTATCATGAGATGAAGGAAGATAGTGTGACCGTACTAGAAAATATCTCATTTCAGGACCATTATGACCAGTCAGCACTATGCTTTGACTATGGACGAGAACTGTTCATTTCTGCAGTCTCACATTACTGGATTAATTGAACTCAGAGGCAACATTGTCTCCTATTCCTTCCAACTAACAAGAGCAGCAACAGCTTATTTATATTTTTTTCTACTCATTTCAGATCAGTCTGTTCTGGCCACTCCTGCTAGCTAAAAGTAGAAAGGACAAAAGCTGGACCTAGAAATGATCAAGGTGACAGGAAAAGAGTACTTGGAAGAATAACCCCAAGACAGGACCACCTCTCATTCTATGAGACATTAGGTTGCATATTGTTCAGCTTCAAAATCATTGTCTTTCTTGTTTTCATGTTTATTGCTGTTATTAAATGCCATCCTATGAACAAAAGACCTGAACCCTGTTCCATAAGTATCATTGCTTCTCTGTGTTCATAGAGTTTCCAGAGACATGTGGTTTAGGAAGTGGATGCCACTCCTGCTTCCAAACCTTAATCAATCTGGGAGTTCCACCAAACATTGTCCACAATATGTATCCATTATGGTATTTGACACACCAAGGGCACAGAGTTCAGCATCACAGCAACCCATTTAGCTTTAAAATAAATGTGGTGATAGCCACCATTTATTACATTCTTATTAGGCACCATGCCATATGCAGCACTTTGCATAAACAATCTCACTTAAATCTTACTACTCTAAGCAAAGACCATGATTGCTCTCATTTTACAATCAGGGAAGTAAGCTTAGAGAAGTTAACTTTCAAGTTTTCACGGCTCATAGGCAGCAGATGTGATATGCAAGTCCTTTTTGACTCAACAGTCTAAACTCTAAAGCACTAGATTTTATTTCCTACTCCATGAGATGTAGGCTCTAACAGACTGCAGAAAGCCCACTGGACATAGACTTAAAAATATTTAAAGGAATTCCCTTCCTGATGTACCTTTATGAGTCTCTTGGCCCACAATAGGGCTTGGCACTGATACATCTGTGTAATCACCAACGCCCAAGAGGCATCCGAAGTCCTGGGGTCATCTATACAAGCAGGGACAAGCAGTGACGTTGCTTTATAACCATGAGTCACCGAAACACAGCGTAAGGTGAAAGGTACTGAAGAAAGGCCATGCTCAAAAAGTGATCAAGAACCAGACAGGTGGCTGCTTGAGCAATACAAACTCTCCTTCCAGCACTGGGGATATGCCACTTCAGCAACCTGGGATTAATCAGTATCTTAACTGTAGATAAGATGCTGTATAGAAGTACATTCTGTAAGTTGTCAAAGAACTAGAACACCAGTTTTTCAATTTTTTTCTAAACCAAAGCTGTCCATGAATTCTGTTTTAAGAGTTTGAATGGGCATGAGAGATCTACCACAGAATGGCTCTGTGGTGCTGTGTTCCAAGTCAAGAGCCTATTATGGATTCTGTTTACCACAAAGATTTAACTAAGAAGCATTTCTCACAATGGTGATAATAGTGTAATTATCTCTCTACTGTCAGTCATGCAGACTAAATCTTGGTAGTTTCATAAGAAAGACCATATTTGCTATTCTCTGGAGGTTTGTTAGGTCCTGGTATCTAAAAGGGATTCAGGTATCTTCTGTACTAAAAAATCAGGGGTTTCTAAACACACACGTCCATACACATGTAAAAGTTAACGACTGGTTTCCAATTTTGCAGGCCTTCATCTGGCCCAAAGTATCTGAACTCCCACATGCCTACTTTAAACAGAAAGCAAACTTAGGTATGCACAGATGGGAGGTATGGCTAGACAACCGTCAGCGGTGTGGCCTAGCGGGTAAGGAGCTCCGCTGCCAACCCAAGGGCAGCGGTTCGAATCTACCAGCTTCTGTGCAGAAGATGGGCATATCTCCTCCCACACAGTTTACAACCTCTGAAGCCCAGCTTGGGGGAGGTGGCGGAGGAGCGGGGAATCAGCTAGGAGTTGAGTTACAACTCGACAGCAATGAATGAGTGATCCCAATAAGCACGAAATGCGAGAATGTTCATGCGCTTCATAAACAGCAAAATGCCACTAAATTGGTAATAACTGTTCCTATCATTGAGTTGGTGATCATCGCTGCTATGATGTTAAATCACTATGCGGGTCAAATCCTCAGCATGGATAATGAGAAAGGAGAGGTGGAAAGGAATGGCAAGGATGGGCCTGCCAGGGTGTGACAGGCACCATGAAAAGCAGGCGAAGAAGGGAGACCAGACAAAAAGGGTGTAGGTGAGAAGGAGGGGCCGCCGGCGCGCCCCCCTGCGAGCCTGGTGGAGGCGGCCAGACTGTACCTTTTGATACACAGCCTGGAGGGCAGGTAGGCCCGGTAGCCGTCGGTGATGTACGGATTGTCCTTGAGGGACACGGGGATCTGCTCGTAGGTGTAGAGGCGGATACCGCGCGGCACCAGCACGGGCCAGTACTGGTAGCTGCCCAGCTCGATGTAATGCGCGCTCTTGAGCAGCTTCTGATGCATCGTTCCCGGCGCCCGCCGCTCCCCACTGGGGGAGCTCGCTCAGGCCCCGCCTCCCCGGGGAGGGGGCTTCGCCGCCCGAGCCCCCGCCCCGGAGCCCGCGCGCGCGGCCCGAGGTCCGACAGCCCCGCAGACGTGCAGGCCGGGCTCCGCGGAAGGACCGGTCTCGGCGTCAGCACAGCGGCGGCCCGGCGGCGTCGCACCCTTTTCTGACGTCAGCACACCGCGGCGGGCCCCGCCCCGAGCCCTGCCTTGCTCACCCAAAACTGCGCACTGGTGCCAGTGATCGCCCGGTGTCTGAGGAGGCGCCGGGTGGCTCCAGCGCCGCACTGGTTCACGCCTCCCGGGTGAAGAGGGCGGAAAGTGAGCAGTTCCTTGGAGGGAAACTTCTTAATTTTGCTGCTGGCCCTGAATTGTGATGCAAATCCTTATAATGCCAACAGGAAAAAACAGAAGTCTTGACATTCATATTGTAGATTCCTTATGTGAGATGCTATCAAATTCCTTCCTATTCCTCTCTGTACAATGGAATGACCCACTACCTGGTCCTGCACCAGCCCCACAAACGGCTGTATTTGAGCCTTTTATTGCAGCCACTATGTTTCCAGCCTCCTATATGGATTGAAGCTCAACATCAAGAAAACAAAGATTCTCACCACTGGGCCAATTGACAGCATCAGTATGGATTAAGGTAGTAAGAGATTAAGGTAGTTAACAGTTTTAGTTTGCTTGGCTCCACAATCAGCACTCTTAGTAACCGCAACCAGGAAATCAAGAGATTAATTGCATTGGGAAAGTCAGCTGTGAGGGACCTCTAAAGAGTACTGAAGAGCAACGAAGTCAAGCTGGAGACTAAGGTGCACCTGATCCAGGCTATAGTCTTCGCAATTACATGCTATGCATCAGAGAGTTGGACAGTGAATAGGGATGATAGAGTATTGATGCCTTTGAGCTGTGGTGCTGGAGAAGAGTATTGAATATACCATGGACTGCTAGGAGAACAAACAGGTTTGTCCTGGAGAAGGTGAAGCTGAAATGCTCCTTGGAGTCAAGGATTCTGAAGCTTCGTCTGACATACTTTGGACATGTTGCAAGGAGGGACTGGTCCTTGTAGAGGGACATCATATTTGACAGAGTGGAGGGGCCGTGAAGGAGAGGTAGACCTTCGATGAGATAGAGCGATTCTGTGACTGGAGTGGTAGGAATAAGTGCGTTTGGTATGGCTAGGTCGGCACAGGCTAGAACGGCGTTTAGAACTCTTATACACAGGGTCGCTATGAGTCGCAAACTACTTGATGGCACATAACAACAACAAACAACCTGTCAGGTCAGTTCATCTTGTTGAGAGTCCTCTTTTTCAGTAGCTCTTTACCAAGCATGATATCCAGACTTCAGGAGCGGCTGTACATAGTGTCGCTTATGAGTTGCAGGAGACTCGGTGGCAGGTAACAACAATTCATGATTGTCCAAAGAACACAAGAGGAGGTCAAGTCATCCTTGCTTCAGTCTGTACTCCTCTAAAATAGATTTGTTTCATCCTCTGCTTGTCCATAATAGAGTCAGTATTTTTTGCCAATATCATAATTAAAAGGTATCAATTCTTCTAGCATTCATATGAAGCAGTTAAAACCACCATGGCTACCTTCTAAAGATTAAATACCTATGTGCATCAAAAACTTTCCCCAGTTGGGTGAAAAGGAACTCTAATGTCTGGGTAAAAAAATTTGGCATTACCATCTCAGACAAGGTTCTCATATCAAAAGTTTACAGAATCCTCCACAAGAAAAAGACTGATAACCAAAACAAACAAATAAACAAACAATGGAAGACTTTTCACAGAGAAGACATTCAGATGGCCAGCAGACCCATGAAGAAATGGTAAAAATCACTGGCAATAAGAGACATACATATCAAAACCACAATGAGATACCATTTTACCCCAGGAGCATTGTAAAAGTTTAACAAGACAGTAAGCAATAAATTTAGGAGAGAATGTGAGAGATAGGAGCTCTCCTATATTGCTGAGGGATTGTGAAATGATATAAGCACTTTGGAAAGCAGTTAAGCATTTCCTCAAAAAGCATAGAAACTCCATATGACCCAGCTATTCCACTGCAAGGTATATACCCCAAGAAAGTTAGAACTAAGAAACAAATGGAGAGTTATACATCAGTCTTCATAGCAGTGTTATTCACTATTGCAAGAACATGGAATAGCCCAAATGTCCAATCAAAATTGAATGGATTGAGATTGTGGTACATTCACAAAAATACTATGCAGCACACAGTAACAATGAGTTTGAAAAATATGATTTAACTTGGGAGAGACTGGAGAGCATTATGATAAGTAAACTAACTCAGTCTCATAAAGACAAATATGGCATAGAACCATTATTGTAAAAATAGATAACTGGCAAAACATTTATGAGAATCCAAGAGGGGAAGGGGTAAGAGCAGAGGGATGAGGATGGTAAGGGGAAATCACAAGGTCGCAAAATTTGGTAGAGGTAGGAGGGGGTAAAGGAAATGGAAAGGATCTGTCAGGGATCTGAAAAGATGAGGTAATGGTGGGCATAGTCCAATGGTGATTAGCTTTATAAAACACAATGTATGGGAATGATTGTATAAAACATAACGCCAATGAAGGAAAGTATGATGCACACACAAAAAACCCCACTATGTACATAAATGAAACACAATGTACATCAACAGTTATATGCATAACAATAAAAATTAAAAAAACCAACCCACAACCCTCCATGGCTTGGGGCAGGCACACTAAGTCCTTAAAATGACATCTTTGCTCTTGAACACTTTAAAAAGGTCTTTTGTAGCAAATTTGACCAATACAATGGGTCCTTTGATTTCTTGACTAATGGGTATTGATTGTAGGTCAAATAAAAAAAAATAAATCCTTGACAGGTTCAAGCTTTTTTCCATTCATCAAGACGTTGCTTATTGGTCCAATTGTGAGGATTTCTTTTTTGTGAGGTGTAATCTATTCTGGAGAACTCTGGTGGCCTAGTGGGTAGAGAGTTGCTACCAAACCAAAGGCAAGCAGTCAAATACCATTAGCTGCACCATGAGAGAAAGATGAGCAATCTCCTGGGTCCTTCACAACCTCTGAAAACCCACTGGTGGGCCAGCTATGAGTTTATTCAGATTGGAGGGTATTGAGTTGTTTCTTTTCTCTTTTTTTCCTATGCTCAGAGCGATTCTAAAGCATGCTTTCTTTTTCTTTTTTTAAATTAATTTTAATGAAAGTTTACAGAAACTTGGGGTTTCCTTTCATTCATTGTTGCACTTTTCTCCCTGTCTACACCCCTGCCTCCTAATTCACTCTTCTCTTTGAAAAGTAAAAGAAAAATTATTTCATTGTTATACAATCCCTCCCTCCAAGTCCACTCCACTATGCAGCCTTCATTCTGGACTCCTGTCATGACAATACCTAATCATATATCCCTTTTAAACACTTCTCTCCCTCATTTATTTCAATGCAGTATACATTATTTATCCCCTCTTTCTCAGTCTTCCCTCAATGCCAATGTCGGTTGTTGTTTCTTGCAATTTATTCTGAAGGCTGAAGTCTTTGATCTTCATCAGTAAGGGCTTCAAGTCTTCTTCATTTTCAGGAAGCTAGATTGTGTCATTTGCATATCACAAGCTGTTAAATGTGCAGCCACCTGTTTATTATCAAATAATCGTCCATCAGGATTGGAAGAAAACTCATCAACATCCTGTGTTGTGCAGATGACAAAACCTTACTTGCTGAAACTGAGAAAGACCTGAAGTGTTTGCTGCAGATCAAGGGCTACAGTCTTCAATATGGATTGCATCTCAACATCAAGAAAACAAAGATTTTCACCACCAGCCCATTGGCAGCATCATGATAGACAGAGAAGAAATTGAGATTTTTAACAATTTATTCCTGGTTGGACACTCTTGGCACCAGCAATCATGAAATCAAACGATTAGTTGCACTGGAAAAGTCTGCTGCTGTAAAGGACTTTTCGAGAGTGATAAAGAGCAACAGTGTCAGTCTAGAGATTAAGGTGTGCCTAATCCAGGCCAAAGTCTTCACAATTATTACTGTGCATCAGAGAGCTGGACATTGACTAAGGACAACAGAAGAATCGCAGCCTTTGAGTTGTGGCACTGACAAAGAGTATTGAACGTACTATGGACTGCCAAGAGAACAAACAAGTCTGTCCTACAGATGATGAAACCAGGTTGCTCCTTGGAGGCAAGGATTTTTGAGGCTTTGTCTCACATACTTTGGGTGTACTGACAGGAGACCATCCCTGGTGAAAGACATCATGCTTGGAAGGGTAGAGGGTCAGCTCAAGAGAGAAAGACACTGAAAGAGATGAATTGACACAGTATCTGAAGAAATAGGGGCAAGTTTGTCTGTGAAAGTGAGATTGGCTCATGGTAGTGCAGAATTGAGAGCTATTATTCATAAGGTCCCTGTGAGTTGTAGTTAACCCGAAGGCAATTACTCATAGTATCTGTTGATTATTATTATTATTATTTTATTAAAGTCTTTGGAAGTCAGGGCACTAACCAGTCAGTGTAAAAGAGTGGTGTGGAATGCTGTGCCTATATTAATTGGCATCTCAGTATGTGGAGGGATATTAAGCAGTTTCAATATAAGTGCGGGCACTATGTAGGAACTGCTCGAGTGTGGACTGTTACAATCAAATGGATTTCAGATCACTTGCATTCTAATTTCCGGCTTGTCATATGATTAAGGTACAAATAGTGCTTGTCAGAATGTGATTTGCACTGATAAGGTGATACATCTTCTGACCTGTCACTGTGGTACAGGTGCAGTTGATCATTAGGTTGAGTAATGTGTCTGTTTTTATTGCTGTTTGCCAAATGGTTGTGGCAAATATGTGCAGGTTATTGGTCTTTGGGAGAATAGCACATGAAGTCACACTGACTCTAATTGGGTGGGCAAGCTGATATGGGAAGGAAATCTTGCTTCCCCAGGTGCCAGTCTAAAGGCAAAAGTCATGCCACTAATCTCTGGGCAGGTGGGGTGGTGCATAGTTTGTGCGGTTGAAAAGAGCCTCTAGTTGCAGATCTGAGGCACAGGAATTGAAATTTTGGGGGTAAGGAGTAAGGAG